GAGGGAAAAATTTTGATTTTTCCCTTGGCCTTTTTTTGGAAGTTTTGCAAACCAAACTCCCCAAAGTTCTGGTTTCCTTTTGTGAAGTGACCCGAATCTTCTTCAATCCCCATAGCCCTCCCTTCCATTTGACACTTTCCTGGCATTATTGGCACAGCTTTCCCTTTGAAAAGTAGTAAGGAAGTATTGTCTTCAAATGATTTGGAGTGCAATAGCGCTTACCAAGTAATCGGTCATCCAACTTGAGGTTTTCTAGTAAAGCTCCTTTTTCCTTTTGGATTGCAATTGGGTTAAGTGATTGTATGCGGTAGCCCTCGGCATCTTCATTTTCACTCTGAACTCTTTTCAAGAGCTGTAACCTCTAGACATTACTTCCAGGATGGATTGATTGGCTGACTAGTCTTTGTTGAGGTCTCAAACGTCCACCTGCACTGACTTCTTTCAATGCTTCCTCATTCTGTGAGATTCTGATTGCTTTGCATTGCAGACTCATCCAAAGGATAATCGTTCCTCTTCTGATGAGAACTTTCTTATGAATTCAGGCACCACAGTCTGTATCCCTTGACACCTCACCGAAGCCCAGAAGATTGGCTTTCTTGGCTTCCAACTTACTATCTTAACATGAAATATGATCGGCTGGTGATCCAAAAGAGTAGCGTAACTGATCAAATATCGTACTCGGCGACTCCTGACTCATACCTCCAGGAGGTCTTTCCATTCTAATGCGCAGTAGTAGTCTTGTCTGACAAAGATAGCGAAGCATAGTTCTAATGGCCTCGCCCCAAATGCCTTGCTCAATCACAGACTGTGACAGCATAACACCGGACTTTCTCCACCAACAATGTCGTCATGCGTCTTGCGAAAGCTCCCATTCCGCTAGCGATGTGTTCCAGAACTGTGAATGTCCTCACTATATCACCCTGCTTCTGGGACAAACCTCAAGAAGGGATCTGATGTATATTCTCCACCGTATTGTCAGATTCTGAGCTTCTTGATCCGATCTGCCTGTCTGGGTCTCATATCAATCTTCTTCCACGTAAGAAAGATGTCTAAGATCTTCATCTTGTGTCTATCATTGTATACATCCAAACTCTTCTGAGAGAAATCATCAAATGAACGCAACAAACAGTAGTGTTTTACCCTCCCAACACGAAGCCAGCTCTTGAAGGACACCCCATACGTCAAGCGCGTATGCTCCGACGAGTTCTAGCATCCCATTAGGTACGAGACTATTTGGCGATTTCTTTTGTTCTATATTAACTAGGCACAGGAACTTCAGCCGTCTTGGCGCCTCTTCAACCAGGCCTTTTTACCCTTGTAAAGCCTTTCTCACCGACATGCCCTAGGCGGGCATGTGCCAAAGTTTGGAAGTGTCTGATGCATCATCTTCTGAGCTGGAAACTGGTGGAGACAGCCACTCTCCCTGTGACTGTAAGAGCCATCTAGAATTATAAATTTCCCTGTCGAGTACCGCTTCATTGCAACCAATGCTCCTCGAACAACTTTAAGGACCCACCTTCCATGGTTACTACTGTAACCTTTGGAGTCTAAAACTCCCACTGAGATGAGATTTCTGGTCTAAGATCTGGTAGCGATACCGTACATCTTCACAAATTCTGATTGTTCCATCATGGCTCTTTAGTTTAATTGCTTCCAATCCCCTTTGGTCTGGCAAGCTTGGTCGTTGCCCATCAGCCACAACTCCCTCCATCGAACTCTCGTAAGCTCGCAGAACCAACTGCTTGTGTTAGGACACATATGGATATGAAACATCCGGAATCTATTATCCATTCATGCTGACTGGCCATATGATGAAACTGTGAAGGCTCCTCTCATCATTATCTCCACTCGTGCAATATTCACCTTCTCTTCTGTCTTGTCTTTATTTTGGACAATCTTTTGCCCAAATGTCCCTTCTCGCGGACAAGCTGCGCACACTCGTCTTTTGCAAGACGTCTTTTGTCTGAAGGTTTCCCCCTGGATTTTGAGCGAGACTTTCTCGCCTTGTATTTCTTCTGTTTTTGTTCTGCCTCTGACTGTTAATGCCTCAGATGTTGAGTCCTATTTGCAACTTATCTTTCCTTCTGAAACTCATTGCTTCACCAAGGCGTTTGCAACATCAACTATACTTGATCTTCTTCTTTACCGTACAGTTAAAGTAGTAGTTGAGATGATCATACGGAGTCAGGCTAAGGATTTTAACAATAACAGTGCTTTGTCTTCATCACAACGTCATTATCCAATTCTTCAAATCCGTAATAATTTTGTTGAAATTATTTAGGTGTTCGTTCATCGAAAATACCTTTAATGTAGTCGAAACGGAAACAACCTCTTCCTCAAAGTAGAGCCGGTTCTCAATGCTCTTTGTCATGAACTTAATCTTCCAGCGCCTTCCAAAGCTTCTTCGCAATATATATTCTGTAAGGCATACTTCTCCTCTTTTGCAAGGCAAAGTCGGATGGAACTGCAAGCCAGGAGATTCACCCCTCTCCCATTCTATCTCGTCCAAGTCATCTGGTTGTCTCCCAGAGCTGAAGTGCAGGTTCATTTGCGACAAAGCATATCCTTAACTTCGCATCTCCACATGCCGAAGTTGCTGCTTCTATCGAACTTCTCTACCTCGAACTTGGCATGGGACACCGGGGTCCAATGCCTAGAAGTGCTTGTACTGGCTGAATTACTTACGGACTCGGATGCTCTAGATTCTGCCATTCTTTAGAAACTTCAATTCAAAAAACTGACCGTACAGATGTGTCTGGAATACTCCAAATAGTTGGGAAGCACTATTGGATCGTCAAAAAACGGACTCCGAATGGCTCCGATCTGGCAAAAACACTTTGGACGGGTCAGATCTGCAGAATCTGGTGCGCTGAGATGCACCGGATAATTTCTCCTGTCAACGGCTGGTCAACGGCGCAGGCGGCGCGGTCAACGGAGGATCGGCGGCGCGGTCAACGGCTTGACGGCTGGTCAACGCGGCTGGTCAGCGGCTCAGGCTAACTGGGCTGACACGTGTCTGACACGTGGCCTGACTGTCGGACGCGTGGCGATGACGTGGTGGATGACGTGGCGCTGACGCGGCACTGACGTGGCGCCACGTGGCTCGTCTTCTTCCTGAGAGACGCGCGTGTGGCGCGTGGGTGAGATTGGCTATCACGCGCCGGTGACTGAACGGCGCGTGGTGGCGCGTGCTGCGACTGGGGCTGACGCGCTTTGTGCAGAGAGCGCGTGAGGGCGCGTGTAAAGGCTTCTTGGCGTTGGTTGCCTTCCATTGTTGACATGAGGATCACCCCTTTCACATGGGGTGACCTCCAGAATCTGTGGGCGCGTGTGTAGGCTTCTGGGCTCTGTTTTTGCTGTTCTGGACTCCTCTCGGGGAGTTCTTCCTCCTGGTATGGTCAAAAGCGGATTTTGAGCACTTCGAAATCTGGGCACTTTCGGGAAAAATTCGATTTTTCGCAACCCGAGCTCTGATACCAATTGTTGAGGATCGGGGGCACACCAGGGAACTAAAACAAGCAATAACACACAAGTTTTAACGTGGGTTTGTGTCAGACAAACCGTGCCCTTCTTCTTGTCTCTCTTGATCTCCATGCCAAGAACTTTCTTTGCTTCTCCCAAATCCTTCATTTCAAACTCCCTTGCTAACTGTGCCTTGAGTTTGTCAATCTCCACCTTGCTCGTAGATGCAATCAGCATATCATCTACATATAAGAGCAAATAGATGAAGGAACCGTCGGGAAGCTTACGGAAATATACACAATGATCAAATTGACTTCTTGTGTATTCTGTCTCTATCATGAACCGATCAAATCGCTTGTACCACTGTCTCGGGGATTGCTTCAATCCGTACAACGATTTGTTCAGCTTACAGGCCCAATTCTCTTTTCCAGCAATTTTGAAACCATCTGGCTGGGACATGTATATCTCCTCTTCAAGATCTCCATGTAAGAAGGCAATTTTGACGTCGAGTTGGGCGAGCTCGAGATCAAACTGTGCAACCAAAGCTAACAAGATGCGAATAGACGGTGGAATAAGATTTTGGCAATAGAGGTTGATTAATATTGATTGATTTTTGCTTATTGTATTATTCTTAGTCATATTTGTAATGTGAATCTAGTTGAATTATTTGCTCAAGTTTGCAGAAGAACCGTAATAAAAAACCAAAGAAAAAAAGAATTTCCATTCGGTCATGCTTGACAGGAAACATAACTGATTTTTCAAAATGTCAATGTTTAAGAATGTGGTCATTTGGGTGAAGTATAGCATATCTAAGGTGTTATGATTTATATGCCACAAGACAAACTGAAGTTTGTCGGCCTAGTGTAGAATTGCGACAGTTTCAATAATAAATGCAGGTATATTCTTCAGTTGCTAAGAAAGTGACAGGGTCATACCTACTCATGATCACACTGTAATTCTAGCTCTTCTTCCTCCATGAACTCCATCAGTTCCAAGAAAGTTGTTCTTGATCACAAGCAACTGAGTAACAACATGATTAATGGTTGGTCTATCTCTTGGTAGTTCTTGTGAACATGCAATTCCAATATTAAGTATTGAAATCAAGCACTCATAAATTTTATGACTGCCAGTAGAGCTCTGATTTCGAGTGTTTTTGGTGCTTGAGCTTGCCTCCTCAATTTCTCTTTGTTGAATTAGTGTTGGATCAACAACGCTCGCTACTTGTTCAGGTAAAGCCATCTTAGCAAAGTTATGAAGACTCAAACTATCATTAAAAATGTTATCAGTAGGTCTCTTCCTCGTAAACATTTCCAATAAGAGGATACCATAACTATATACATCACCAAATGTTGTCACCTCATTTCCCATACCATGCTCTGCAAATGATGCATCATTCAAAGTAAATACTTTTGTAAAGATGCTTGGTTAGAAGCATATCAAATAATAGTAATAGTAATGTACCTTCTACAGATAACTCTTTGTGGAAAACAAGTTCAGCGCATAAAAAACTTTACTATTTAAAGTAAGATAGGAAAGAATTATGTCTTTTCTTGGTGAGATAACAACATTTCGTTTGTCTGCTTGTGTCATGAGAAAGGCCCAACTTGAAACAAGTTGATTGTTTCCCAGTGATATTTATGAAACCAAATAGTCAATGGTTCAGTATCTTCTTAAAAAATAAGCAGTTGAAGCTTCGGTGACTATTTAACTTTATCTGATTAGGTTTCTATTCATCAAAATTATTAACGTAAAAGAAATAGATAAGAAGATTGAAATTAGCAAAAGAGGATTTTCTAATCTGCTTTTTATGTTATCCTATGACTACACACATGGGAGATGAACAAAAGTCAGATATTGTATGTTGTTGCGCCAAGAAAAATACAAGATTTCTCAATATTGGTACATCTCCATTGAAGGCAAAAATAAACGTAAATACAATTATATGGATTATGATTTGCAGACAACAAGATAGGAGATGTATGAAAAATCCTCTAAAAAATGGGATTGTATATTGGGTTGTATATTATAAGCAAGAAACTAATGAAATTAAGAACATGCATTCCTTTGAGTTTCATATTTTTCAGACTAAATCATGTGCAACCAAAAAGAAACATTGGAAAGTATTTGCCAAACATTGATTTTCATGCATTTGAAGGGCAAATGATGTTGCGAGAAATAAAACCAAAGAACCATCTGCTTTACTTCATTGATTGAAGGAGCATACTTGATGGATATGCAAATCAGACTCTAAAGTACGTTGGAAATTGAAGGTGAAAAAGAATATCAGAAAAGGGACTAAGAAATACATTTACCTGGAGCAGCATAACCAACAGACCCTCTTAAGCCAATGGAACTTGATTGAGTTGCAGAAGAATTATAGGTGCCTTCTGGAAGGAATCTAACTAACCCAAAATCACCTACATGTCCAATCATTTCATCATTCAGAAGAACATTGCTCGGCTTCAAATCACAGTGAACTATTGGTTCCGAGCAATGGTGGTGAAGATAATCAAGTGCAGAAGCAACATCAACGGCAATATTTAACCTTTGTAGGATGTTTAAATTTCTTGATTTGACATGCACCTCATCTTCATTTTCATTTGCATGTAACCAATCCTCTAGGCTACCATTGACCATGAAATCATAAACCAAAGCTTTGAAATCATTACCATTATAGTCAACACTTGAACATGCTGTGAAAACCTTGACAAGATTTCGATGTCTGATGCGCCTCAAGGCCTCACACTCAGCAACGAAACTCTTGGAAGCTCCACGGAATTGAAGGTTTAGTACCTTCACTGCAACAACTTTTTCACTATGATCAAGAATTCCTTTGTAGACCGAACCAAAACTACCCATGCCTATCATGTTGGCTGGAGAGAACCCATCTGTTGCCTTGAGTAGACTTTGGTAGGACAGTTTCACATATGACTTCCCTAAAAATCTCAAAGGGGGTACTTTTGTTGTCTTTCTAAAGCAACAAAGATACAGTAAACACAACACTATTACTAGTCCCAGAAACCCAAACGATGTGGGGATTATTATTTTCAAGATGAGTGTAAATCTTTTCCCTTTGAATCCCTAGGTATTGCAACTATGCAAATGCAGTTTAGGTATACCACCACAAAGATGCTTGTTTCCCCTAATAGAAATGGCCATTGCATTTTTAAATATGCCTATTTCGGGTACCGCACCCTCAAAATCATTGAATGATAGATCTAATTTTTGTAAGAAGACAAAGCCCTCTAAATAGTCTGGGATTTTTCCTGAGAAATTATTGTGAGAAAGATCTAATTCCTCAATACCTCTCAAATAACTTAAAGATGAAGGAAGGATTCCCCAGAAATTATTGCTCTGTATATATAGAAATCTCAATTTTACACAATTACCAAGAGTGCTTGGAATTTTTCTAGACAACATGTTCCCAGAAACATCTAATTGTTCAAGATTTATTAAATTCCCAATTTCTAGTTGTATGGACCCAACCAAATGGTTATCACGTAGGTACAAGTTCAACAATGATGAGAGAGTTAGAACTTGTTTGGGTATGGTACCACTAAGATTGTTTCCATCAAGAGCTAGATCTACAAGGGGGCAGTTTCCCAGACTTGGAGGAATGTTGCCATGCAAGTTATTTACTCCTAAATAAAGATACCCTAGTGAAGTCAAATTTTTCAAAGACAATGGAATTTTCCCATAGAATTTATTACCTGAGAGATCCAAAATTTGTAGCTTTTGTAGCTTCCCAATATCAGCAAGAATGTTGCCGATGCAATGATTGTCTGACATGTCCAAAAGTTGCAAATTGACCAAATTCGCCATCTCGATTGGGATGCTCCCACCTATTTTATTTTTTTCCAAAGAAAGGATACCAAGAAAGGACAAATTGCCAATTGATTCTGGCAACACCCCTCCAAAGTTGTTGGAGTTCAGCGTCAAAGAGTTCAAATTGGTGGCATTGGGCAATGAGCTAAGAAAATTCAAGTCACCAGCTTCCCCTGTTCCAAGATGATTGTCTTCAAAGTTTAACCGCCCAAGACTGTGCATCATTCCCAAAAGAGGCACTCTTCCAATAAATTTATTTTCTCCCAAATCAAGGAGATATAGGTTGGTTGCATTTGATATTGAAATAGGAATGGATCCAGTAAACAAGTTTACTCCAGCTGAAAACCATTGAAGAGTTGGAAAAGAAATTCCAAGATCTAAGGGAAGTCTCCCTTGAACTTGGTTCATTGTTGTATCAAAAGCTGTGATGGAAGAGAGATTAAAGATTGAGGAAGGAATAGTACCAACCAACTTGTTCTCCGCCAATACAAGATAGTTTAAGTTTGTCAATCGGCCCAGGGCTTCAGGTATACTCCCATCGATATTATTGATACTTACATCGAATACAACAAGGGATGACATATTTCCCAAAGTAGAAGGAAGGCCACCTGTTAGATTGTTTCTTTCAATGAACAATTGCTCGAGCTTAGACAGAGAACCAAGCTCCATGGGAATTTTCCCAGCCAAACTATTGCCAGAAAGCTGAAGGACAGCAAGGTTAGAGCAAGCAGATATATTGGCGGGAATTTCACCACCAATAGAATTATTGAGTAGTCTCAGTATTTGCAGTCTCCGTAGATGGCCAAGTTCAGGGGGGATTTGATGAGTGAAGCTATTGTTACGCAACCACAGTTCCCTAAGAAAGCTCAGATTTCCAATGTGAGGCGAAATTGAGCCTGTCAATTTTTGATAATCCAGTTTCAACTTAGTCACCCTCTGGTGTCGTCGGCCACATGTTATGCCAGCCCATTGACACAAGTGGATGGATTCATTCCACGAGTTTAGAGCCCCAAAGGGGTCACCGGTTATTTCAGCCTTGAATACGAGCAAGGCTAGCCGATCCGTCTCATTCCCGGCTACATGAACATGATGACGATGAGTACTAGAGCCTGAACCACCCAAACATGAACACCCCATGAGAACAACAACAACATGCATGAACTGAAACAGAGTCATGACATTGACGACACTAATATTAAACCCATATGAGGATTGAACGCTCTCATTAAATTTGAGAGAGCATCCATCCCTATATATAAAGCACTAATACCTGGGGACGAAAATTTTGACCTCGCCAAAATTACCGCATTGCCCCTTTGCTTATATCATAATCACCATCTCTCATCATAATCATCATTCCATATGCAATGGTCTCATTGTACATCACACATCATCATACATTAGTTTTATCAAAATTACTCGGTCCTGCGCGGTAACAGCATACACGCGCCCTGTAGGCCCCTGATCTACCTGCTCACCTCGAGGAGCAAAAGACTTCTGCATTGACTGGGATGACGAAGCTCCCGGATTGGCCCTCGAGGCCTGCACAGACTGAGCTGGCTGATAACCCTGCGTCTGCCTAGAACCAGACGCTCCTGAAGTAGCACTCAACTGTGGGCAAAACCTCTTCAGGTGCCCAGGCTGACCACACTGATAGCAAGACAAAGGCTGGCCCCTGCCCTCACTCTGAACCTGAGGTCTGGCTGAAGAAGAAGCAGCTCGCTGACCCCCTCCCTTCTGCGGGCAAACCGAAGACTTATGACCCAGCTAGCCACATGCAAAACAAGTCAAGCCTCCCTGACTACCTCTCCCAGAGCCCGTACTCGGCACTGGAAAGGTTGATCTAGCCAAACCACCCTGAGACTGATGAGGGTTAGAACCCCTCTGTCTCCTACCGTCACCCTGACCGTCTTGGCTCCTCTTGGAGCCTTTCTGCCCCTCGTCTTCCTCCTGCATCATAATCTCCATATGAGCAGCAGCATCAACCAAACGTCTGTACTCTCGGATAAAGGACCCTTCAACCCTCAACTTGAGTCCACGCCTCAACTTTCGCTCAAACTCAAAACAACGGCGTTCCTCAGATGCCACTAGTTCAGGTGCAAACCTGGACAGACTAGTAAAAGTAGCCTCAAACTCGGCTACTGACAAGCCCTGCTGTCTAAGCTGGCAAAACTGCTCTCTCAGCTTCTCCCTAGCAGCTGCAGATAAAAAACTTTTCCTGGAAAGCATTCACAAACGCCTCCCATGCACCACCAACACTGCCTTTCTCGTACTTCCACCATTGACCCGCATCTCCCTTCAGCTGGAAGGATGCCAAGGTCACCTTTAAAGCCCCGTCCTCGATGCCAAGCATCTCGAACGTCTTCTCCATCTGTTCCAACCACTCGTCAGCCTTAAGTGGCTCCTTCGGATCCCTAACAAACTTGTCGCGGGTTAGACCGGAAGAATTCCCTCTTCAAGAAAGAAGGCCCTGCCTCCAGAACCTGATTCTCAGCTCTGAGAATACCCAAAGCTCCCGCTATCTCTCGGGCCAAGGCACCCATAGCCTGCTGACCCGCTGGCTCGGCCACGTTGGCCTGACCAACTCACTCCTGCATTGCCGGAACGTCATCCGGTAAAGGTACCTCCTGCCTACCATGCCTGCCACGCCTACCACGTCCTCGTCCTGACATCCTAATAAAGGTAATCAAGACTATTAGCACATTCACAAATGTGCCGAAGCTATAACACTCGCGTCCTAATGCATGGACAACTGTAATTCACTCCACGTAAGCACATAAACACATAAGCACTTACGAATTTCATTTCCGATAATGATAGTCCCGAGGCGTTACTAGAGTTCCGGTTAGAAACAGCATTGATCAAGTGCCTTTCCCAACAAAGATCCCAGAAAAACCCAAGGATCCAATCAACATCCTAGAAACTAAATCCCATACCCACATAGTCACATAAGCATGTTATCAATTAAGCACATAGCATATGACACTACATCTAAGTCTCTATCAAACGAGACAAACCCATTGTGATCCGAAATCACTTCCCACGTACCCAAAGTATTCGAACCCGGTACGCTCTGATACCAAGTTGTAACGCCCTCGAAATAATACATAAAACCCATCACATTAGACATGCATCGATATAAAAGAAGCCAACTATTTCTATTCATCAGAGTAATCCTTACAACTGTATTACATGTTAACAACAAAAGCAAATGCCCTATGGGCTTACAGCTTTCCAAGTTAACACTTGGTTACAAAAAGAAAAAGTACTAACTCAATACATATTAAGCCATTGGCTTGAATTTACATGTAATACATCAAAATAAACAAAAAAAAGAGTCTTCAACTCTCATCATCATCCAAGCTAAGTCCTTAGAGGTGGCATACTACCTGTACCTGAAAATAATGCCCCATAAAGGGTGAGCCAACGCCCAGTAGAGATATGCTAAACACGGTATGAGCAATGACTAAGACATTAGCAATTGATAAATGTTCAATTTCCATAAATCAATTCATAACCCATTTCCATTTCATGACCACCATGTTCATATTTCATTTCAATTTCACAATTTACATCAACGGCTCAGAACCTGGCCAACCATTTCTATGAGACAGTGACTCATATTAGACATTTTCCATTTTCAATAGATAAATATATTAGTTATATCAACATCTCAACAGATAAGCATACAAGCTGTATCCACATTTCAACAGATATGCATATTAGCTATATCAACACTTCCAATGATAAGCATGCGAGCTGTATCAACACTTCCAAAGATAAGCATATGAGCTATATCAATACATTATCTGACAAGCATATGAGCTGTATCAGTGGAGTCCATCCCCTATCTCCTCCCAAACAACATCCGGTTTAGAGGTCCATCCCCTATCTTCTCCTAAACCGTGGAGTACATCCCCTATCTCCTCCCGCACACACAACGTATATACACAAAGGTCATATACACAATCAATCAATACATAACGTTAATGTATTCTATCAACCGTCATACTCTATGACATATCCAATTGATTAGTTTTAGTTTTCCTAATCATCATGCATTGTCTACAACAATCAAAACTGCCCTCCAAAGGTAGCCGAAGCAATTATTTCTAAACAGATAATAAAAGCTCCAACAGATAAAATATCAATGTTTTCAAAAGTGAGCGATTAACAAATCTAACTCCACTATTCAACCATATAATGAGGCAATTTCATTATTTCCAACTCAATTCCATATAACCACCATTTTCTGAAATTAATCATACCAATTAATTTATACAACCAATTAGGGTTTTCTACCCCATTTCTCAATATTGACCCAATGGTCTATATTTCAACAACCAACAACAATAACACCATTTTGAAACCCAAAGTACATATTATGAGCCCAAAATCACAAAACCCTCTTTAACACATTTTGAAACCCTAAGTCCCAAAATTTTCCCAACTTCAACACTTTATCAAAACAACCAAAAATCTAGGTCAAAGACCATAAGAGTGAGTAGGAATCCCTACCTCAAATTCGGAGCCCAAGGAAAGAAGGTGAGGAAACTCGACCTGCTCCAAAACTCAATATTTTCGGATCAAAAGGTAACCCTCGACGATCAACAACTTTTTTGTAAAGGCCAAAGGTGATGAAACAACTCTAACTAGATCAATACCTAGAGAGAAGGCAAGGTTCTAGAGAGAGAAGCTCTCAAATGGCGTTTTGGAAAAGTAAGAGAGAGAGTGTGAATGTAAAAAGTGATTTTAAAATGCCCAGCTGTCAACTGATATACGACGTTCCCACTCGAGCGGAGAACACAACGCTCGAGCGTCAAGAACAAAAATCTGGACACGCTCGAGCACAATAAGGTCCGCTCGAGTGCCAAGACACAAGAATAAAGCACATCTGCTCGAGCGCGAAAACCAGTCCGCTCGAGCGTAGATTTCCCCCTCCCAGAACTTACACCAAAAAGATACTACCCGCTCGAGCGCCAGAGTACCCGCTCGAGCGTAAAGAAACCCGCTCGAGCGTAAAAATCACACCTGCAGAAGTTTTGCAGGGACACAAAAATCTGGTAGTGTACAATCTCCGCTCGAGCGGACCTCCTAAAATCTGGGCAACAAAGAATTGAAACCAAAGCCTAACCAACCTGTAACAACTCTACCCAATACATCCTAAAACTCAATCAAGTGGAATTAAAGGATGACAACAAGGTGTACCACTACCAACATCACAGAACCGAGTCCGGAATACAACAGAATAGTAAAGGGACAACCGGGATCGCTATAACTGTCTAATATGCACGAGCGGGGTGAGGTGCGGGAGAGGGGCACGGCACATGCAGGGATGAAGTCCGCACATGTGGGGAGGTGCGCCGTACGTGCGGCAGACGGGGCAGTACGAACCTCTGATTTTATTCCTCTTTTTGGCCGAATTGTATCTCATTTTTGGGCTTCTCTCTCTCATTCTAAACCCTATTTTCTCCACCTTCTCTCTAGAAAACCCTCACAAAACACTAAAACACTTTGATTCTTGCTATCCTTGGGACTAGATCATCATCATCTCTTGAAGATCTAGGGCTAGAGTTTCACTTGGTGTGGTGAAAATCAAGGCTCTTTCTCATCCTTGAAGTTAGAGTTTCATCTTCTCCTCTTCATCAAACATTGAGGTGGGGACATTCTTGAGTTATATATATATATATGTTTTGCAAGATTAAATGTTGGTTTTCATGTTCCTCTTGAGATATTTTTTAGAGTTGTTTGTGACTCAATAGAGTAGAAATTTTCCCAATGAAAAGTTTAAAACCTCAAATGCCTATCTTTCTTTTGTTGATTTTGAAGGGTTTGCATCTATTAATTTGAGAAAGATATTTTGTTGGGAGTTCACCAAGAAATTGGGGAAATGTTTTGGTTTTGATATAAAACCCTAGAAATTTTGTAGATTTTTGAAAAATGTGAACACGTCTAAGGGTCTCTTGTTGTTTTGTATTAAGAGAGTGAACTTCCATCATATGTTGAGCAAAAATGGTAATTTACTTGATATGTGAGAAATGAGATGTTATTCTAACATGATTGTTAAACGTTTGAAAGTGTATTGTTGTGAAATGGCAATGGTTGTGCATCTTGGATAGTGAAAAATTGTAAACATTGGAGTTAATGTTTGAAAAACGTCACATGTGGTCTTAAAG